AAAAAAAAGTATGTGGCTTGGTAATCGATATATTCAGATAACATTGTCATTCCAAATAAATTAACACAAGTGGAGAACATTTTCTCACTTCTACCATGAGCTCTGTCTTCTCTGTGGCCGCCTCCTAGCAGCAACTATCGCAGCCATGTCAAGCACAAAATGGATTAAGATGTGTTTTTTTGGGCATTAAATAATGGCACAAATACCAGTAATTTGACTACCGCAAACCTTAGTAAATCATGCATGATTCATTTAAATACTCTTCTCTCAGAAATGTTGCATCTGAGAGGAAAACTCCTACAAATGCGCATGCAATAAGATCAGCCGCAAAAATGACTGTCCACACCTTTCATTGCTTATTTTTCACTGTATGTCATTAGTAAAAAAGCAGATTTACTAACAGCTTGTTCCAGGCAAACCCTCTTTTTGCAGTTAAAAAAGAGGGTTTGCCTGGAACAAGCTGTAAGTAAATCTGGCCCTTAGTGTTTACCAAAGTCAAGTAGCTTGTTCAGTTCAAATAAGTGAATGCTGTTTTTTGTTTTTTTGTTCACCCTCTCCTAATCATAGGCGTTTGTGAAGGCTGGGGTGACCCGCATTACCGCACATTTGATGGACACTTTTACAGTTATCAAGGAAACTGCACTTATGTATTAATGGAGGAAATCAGTCCTCGATTCAATTTGAAGATCGACATCGAAAGTGTCTACTGTGACCCTGTTGAGCATGTATCCTGTCCCAGATCTATAATTGTGTCTTACAACAATCTAGTCATAACACTCATAAATCACAATCTCATAGGAGGTGCAGACCTAGAGGTGAGACTTTCTAGATTTGGAATGAGTAACATGTTTTGTCTGCTTTACTAAGTATCCTAAAATTCTCCTGTCATAACAGGCTTTTGAGAACAACAAAAAGATACCACTACCATATACTCGTAATGGTGTGAGAGTTGTAAGCTCAGGCCTAAACTTGATCCTGACTATTCCACTGCGGGGTACTAATATAACATTTGGAGCCACAGGCTTTGAAGTCAGTCTGTCATACCATTTTTTTGGAAACAACACACAAGGTCACTGTGGTAAGTCAGCCACTCCCCATATGTTGTGTGGATGGTATATGAGGGATTTGTTTTTATGTCTAAATTACTCCAAATTAATTCTCACTAAGGTACATGCAACAACAACCAGGCTGATGACTGCATGATCCCTGGAGGGATCTTGGTGGACGACTGTGCAGTGATGGCAGATTACTGGCCAGCCAGTGAAATTTGCACTCCAACTGCAAAAACTACATCTAAGCCTTGCCCAGTTAATCCTGACTGCGACCTCCTCAAAAGCGAGTGAGTGGGTTCTGTATGGTGGTTTTATTATACATTTCAATATACGGAGCTTCCAAAGTGATATGTACTACCTCTGTCTTTCTCAGCTTGTTCAAAGCATGCCATTCCCATCAGTCCCCCGAAAACTTCTTTTTAGCATGTGAATATGACAGTTGTCATATGAGCAACCCTGCCGTGGTGTGTACCAGTCTGCAGGCTTACGCGAGGTCTTGCTCTCAATTAGGGATCTGCATACACTGGAGGAACTACACTAACCTTTGCAGTAAGTTGCATTTTATTAATTTTATATCATACTGTTCCTTTAGGTTTTTCCAAAACCCTTAACTTTCTGTTGTACATTTCTGACTTTAAATTCCTTTTTTTATATGACATTTTCTTTGTGATCTCAGACTTTTGGAAGTTTAGAGATTATTGTGTGTAAGTGTTGTGTTTGTCTTTTCTTCCCCAGATATTGAATGTCCAGCAGATAAAGTCTTCAATCCTTGTGGTCCAGCTGAGCCACCAACCTGTGCTGATATGTATGCCCATTTATCCGAATTTTTTAAGAATTTAGATATTTGTGAATATGAAAGTTTAGTGCTTTAGTATTGTAAACTGAGGGATGGGAATATGACAGGGAATAAAATAGTATTATTATGCAGATGTTTATTGGAATGAATCTCAGGTGATATGTATGTAATAAAAAAGGTAAATACTTTGCAGACCTGGAGAGAACACAATTAAAGTGCCCACAGAGGGCTGCTTCTGTCCTGAGGGCTCATTGCTCTTCAACAAGGAGTCAGGAGCCTGTGTGAACAAATGCGGTGAGAAGCCTTCGAGTCAAGTTTATGTGCATGCTTATTGAGATGTACAAAAAAATCCTACATGTCTTAGCTGCTTTTCAAGAACATATCTGTCTTATTTTTGTTTTTAGGATGCCTGGATGCCTCTGGAACACCACGTGAGGTATGGCGGTATTTAACAGTTTTAATTTAGCTGTTTACTCTATACTAGAATTTCAACTTCAAGGTCATTCCAAAACGTTTACCTGAATTCTCTTGATATTTTGTGACAGTTCGATGAAGTTTTTGTGTACAACTGTGAGGAGTGTATCTGTGACAAGGCCAGCAAATCTGTAAACTGTCCAAACTCCAAGAAGTGTCCTGATGTGAACCCTGTGAGCTGCACTGAGCCTGGCTTTGTGCTGGTCAATGCCACCGATCCTTCAGACCCATGCTGCAGCAAACAAGTTTGCAGTAAGTTTATGTAGTTTTTTTTTTTTTTTT